TATTTCCAGTTTTTCTGCTACTGAAATCACATTAATAGGAAAGTGAAGCAAAAACATGATTTTGGATCATTTTTAAGGCTTACTAGCGGCGGTCTCCTTGAACCTAGAAAGATTTAGACGCACAACATACCGCTTAATAGAAACAACACCGAGCTAGAACCTACATCTGCTTGGAGAGATGGCTATGTTGACCTCAAGTAACCCGGAGTCTATGACGTCAGGTTCTCGCGAGAGTTTGAAGTGGGCGAGACTAACACGTGATTTGGCAGAGTCGACCATTTTCGTGAGCGAGAAGGAATGGTTGGAAGAATCGGGTGACAGTTTTGGTCGCGATTTTTACTCCATGTAGGCAGAAAGGCACAAACCAGGTGAGCTACGATGACAGTAGAATATCTAGAGGTCATTTTTTGTGGAAAGTTACTGGCGGACAAGGGACAGAAAGGCAGGAAATAGTCGGTAGAGTTTGGGTATGCCAGTCAAGTAGGAGGGTGGATCGCCATGTTGTTTTGTTGAACTCTTGCAATGTAAACAGAAGGATAATATTTACGTAACGTTATAATCATGTCCATATTACCCTTTTCTACAGTCACAACTTAGTAATTCAAGAAGCAAGAATGTTATAGATGGTTTCTGACTTTGTTTTGAGAACGATATGAAGCTTAAATCGTCATAATTTTTGTCAGGAAGTCCCCTGCCCTGATACATATTTGCGCATTCAAGTGTTATGGTATCAAATTATGTGATCACTGATAGTATTATTTTTTAGTGAGAAAAATAAGAAAAAATTTTGGAATGTTTTCCTTCCACTCTTTGATGAAATGCAGTGTTATCTCAGTTTTTTTCCTCTTACTATTCAGTTATGAATTAATTAATCAATCAACTTTATTGTGCTACATTTTGTAAAGCTAAAGGATACAATTTGATACAGATCGTAACATTTCATGTACATGGTATTAGGTAAACTACACTAGTAGTGTAGTGTAACACTACATAATGAGTCTGATAAATATGATGTTTAATTCATATCTCAAATTTGTATTTCCATAAATGCTATTTAGAATCAATTGAAGATCTTTAGCACCATAAAGCTATAAATTTTCAACACTAAAAAAATATGGTACCCATTTTTTTTTATTTTACTGCACCATGGCCAGTCTTTGTCAAAGAATGAGAAATCTGCTGCTTTTATGACACCACTTCATACAGATTGTGATATGTGAACAGTGGGTTGTTAGTTGTAGGAAGTTAAATGATATCACCCATTTCAACCGTTTCTCTGCTGCCAAACTTTGTACCCATTGCTGATAATATATATAATATGTGGTATATAGAATACCTCTCAGGCCTAGAAAAACCTGTTTTCTTGCACGTCAGCATAATGTATTGTGGCTGTGTGAAAACTTAGTAAATATGTATTGGATAGCTTTTTGGCAGAATCGTTTGTTATTGTTTATTGAGAAATCACAGTCTCACGTACAGTCGAATTATGGGATTTGTAACTTACATAAAAGTCATGTACATGGTTATGGTACAATCAGTTAAAACTTGTTACATCTAAAAATGCCTTAGTTTTTAGAACATGATCGATTGTCTTTAACTTTATATTATGATATATTATTATACACACAATTGTTGCTCAGGATGGCCTTTGTACCCAGAAGATAACCTTGTCCCAGAATAATTCAGACAACAGACAACATTTTAACCTTTGGATTAAAAACATGCCTTGAAGGCCAATAACCTTGCAGTTTGTGCCTGCACCCTGGATGATATTTTGAATTGATTGGCATGGCTCAAAATAACTTAATGCAACCTACAGAAATGTTATGATAGTGGGTTAAATATAAACAACTATTATTTTGCAACCCATATGTATTTCAATTTTCACATGTGGTAAAAAGTGATGAGGTTTTTGGTAGTCAGTGGTGGCACAATGTAATTCTTAAGCTTTAACTTTAAGACCCAGCATATGCATGGCCCATGGATACTCAAGCATGCTAATGTCAATGGTGCAATGTTTGCTTTGTAGCTGTAAAAACATGCCACTCTTGGTGCTTATGCAACCCAGAAGGAATATGGGCATACAATAAAAGTCAATATGGTCTACCTTCATGAAACTTCGTACCAAATTACCAGGTTTACATATAACCAAAACGAATACTGTAAGTCTACAAATTTCCGCGGTATATTTAGATTCGCGGAATTCGCGGGGACCTTTGTACCGCGAATCTATTTCCCCGCGAATATGTTTTGCGTAAATGTAATGTGTTAACTGTGTTACATGCGTTCACGACGGTCCTCAAGTTTAACCGATTTTTAAAACACAACTGATAACACACGCGATCCACAAATCACTCCAAATCAACTTTATTCTAAGCAAATGTACGTACAGTTTGTTGAGTATCAAAATTATTTAAGTCATACTGATGTCAAAAATAATATTATGAGACACCGAATCGCGATACTGTGGCACTGCCACTGGCCGTGTTAACCGCATACCGCCCGACAAAAATCTTGCTAGCGCTGGCCATGTGCGCCCGGCGCCCAAAAATTACGGGCACATTGGGCAAATCTACAAATATTTTGATGAAAAATATAACTGATGGTATCTGGGAAATGTTATTTGATTCTTTGGTACTCTTTTGCGGGTGTTTTTTTTCTTTCTTTCTTTCTTATTTTGCTCGATAGAAACGCTAGCGTGAGCCTACCGAAGGCGACCTTTGCATACTTCCGGGTTCGGTTTGAACGACAAAATCTCGCCGAAGACGGCATAAATTTGCTTAGGAATATATATTTTCCCTAAAGATTCTTTCGATTATGCATTTCTTCACTTGAGTACCGATGGGTAGTCGTGGAAAATAACGTTTTAGCGCTTATTTCCGAGCAAAGAAAATTGTTTACACGCGCTTCAGATCGATCGAGCTTTACCGCCGGCACTGACGCAACAACCAATCAGAGACGCGTAGCGCGGACATGTGATGCAAGATTTGCATACCGACAGAGCTGCAGGCAGCCTCGCGCGGAGCACGAAACACATTTTTGCGCCGCATTTTAGAAAAAAATGCCGGGACACGAACTTTTCGTATTTTTAAATATGCACTTTACAAGTTCTTCTTTCAATAGCCAAGGGGAAATCGCGAATCTAAAAATACAGCGGATTGTCCATTTTCCCGAAACCGCGAACTTTAGGCCCCGCGAATCTAAAGAGACTTACAGTAATAATTTACAGTTAGTACTGTATGTAGATCAAACAGAGACTAGACTTTCCGGTTTAAAAGTAGCAAAAACCCTCAAGGTACTAAACAGACAATAGCTAGCTAATATGTGGTAACATGTGACTATTACTATGTACATGACGTAGCATGCATCCAGTATGACTGGTTTTCTCATCTACATAATGCTGTGTCCATGGAGGTAGAATGCAAAAAATATGCTGTGTCACAAAATCACAAGATACAGTCATGGACTCGATGGAGGTAGAAGAGATCTACCTCCATGATACAGTGTACATCCAAAAATCATTTCATCAGGTTTTCTTCTTACAGTTACACAAGTTACACTCACCTGTATTGAAACGTAAGCAGGTGAGATCACGTGACAGTACAGGTTGTGTAAGAAAAAAATCCGTATATCCTAATTCACAATGTGATCTAAACTATACATAGGGCAAAGTTATAAAAGGCATGTGTGTATATAATATGGAGGTTATATGAACCATGTTTCTAACTTTCAATTTAGAAAATGTATTACAATCAACTTCCAGTTATGGAAGTTTTGATGTGGGTGGCAGAGCTGAGGGTTTGTGTATCGGCTTGTCCACTGAGTACATGTATATTGACAGCCAGACATGAGTGGGGAAAGATTGACAGGCAGAATAACAGGTCAAAAGGTCAGACAGAGGAAATGGACACGAAAGTCACAGAATCTGGCCTTGGTTGAGCCAGCAGGAATTATAGTGGTAAACATGGGTAATTCAGGAAGTTTAAAATCTCTGATTTCTTGTTGCTTATGTTGTTTGTTTGTTTGTTTGTTTGTTGTAGCCATGTTCCCGTGCCGACCAGTCCCATCGTACATCACGGTGTTGTACCTCTATGCAGTGCTGAACCTGTTCCTCCTGCTCCATGTGTGCACTGTGGATGCTGATGTTATCGTGGTAAGGCAGGGTTGAGAAGAATTAGTGTAATTTCACAGAAGGCTTTGTTTATGTTATATATAGAGCTGTGTACAGGTACATACTGTACCGGAAAAATTGATTAGGTACAGGTCCAAAATACCTAATCCCTCAGTACCGGTACTGTACCTAAACAATTTCACACCAATTTTATGCCTATTTGTGGCCTCAAATGTTTAAATAGCTGGTTAACAATGGGTGCCTGTGTAAGGACAGTGTGTTCATGAAAACAAAAACATCTTAGTTTTGCCTATATTTCATCTGAGCATTCGCCATAAACAAAGAATAAACCTTAACTATCAAGTTTATTTATGTTTTTTTGTTATTGAAGGAGTTCAGAAGAGCATATAAATTGGTCGAATTGTTCAGGTACAGGTTCAGGTCCGGACCTGTACCTAAACCTGTGTACCTGTACCTGTACCTAAAATTTGTTTTAGGTACACAGCTCTAGTTATATATCATTTTATGTAGTACAGTAAAACTTGCCCTAGCATTAGTAGCAACCACCTAGAATTTTACTGTATTATCAATTAAGAGATCTGAAAGGATAACATTTTGAGGTAGGTTACACAAAAGTGTTAATTGTTATGCAACAATATTGTTTACGGTTTTCAAGTTGTAAATCTGCAATGCTTGTAGAACTTGCTAGGGGGCATCACATTACAGTAGTGTCATATAAAGAGCTAGATACTAGTGTTTTATACTGGACGTTGTACCAGAGATGATGCCAGACACTAAAAAAAACTGATGTTTTACATTGTACCTAATGATGATTTTTCCTGTTTTTCAGACTGATAGCATTAACAACACAGTAAACTTCATGGATATGCCATCCAACTTTGGAGCCCAGCTACCTGACATGGGAATACAGGTACATTGTAATGTTCCAGTTAAATAGTACTACTAGTTGATAGAATTTCCTTGCCCCTTTTTACTTTTTTTATATTTAGCACATTTGGGTCGTTAGTTGATATTTGGGGCATTTGAAAACAGTGCCAAAACAAGCTACATTCTTTGTACCAGCTCTGTATAGATCAAAATGATACAACTTCCAAGGTAACCAAATGCTACAATGGCAGTGGGGAACACTGTTAAATTTTTTATTCTTCTGTGTTTTTTTTTTTCTACTTAAAAGTAGTAAATCTGGCCTATGTTGCATTGTATTGTAAGTTGTAGTTGGTTTTTTTTGTGGATTCATGACACTACAAATACGGTATGTCTTCCTTGTACGGCTACATACTACAGAATTGTTTTAGCTTCGAATTGAATAAAAACATTTAAAAAACCTCCCTCTGTAAGTCCTACCATATGATAAAACCAAGAAAGTTTAACGACAGTATTTCCTTTGTGAACCCTTGTTGACTAGCAGTACCAAACATTGTCTTGATGTACGTACCATTTTGCTGTTGTTTACATGTTGTTGTTTATCCTGCAGGGTTACCTAGCAGCAGTAAACCCTCCCCACGCGTGCAGACAGGTTGGCCCTCCGCCTCCCAACATCACAGAGTACACTCCCATTGCCCTGATCCGCAGGGGAAACTGTGACTTTGACTTGAAGGTCAGACAACACTCATAGTCATACTGTAAATGTGTAAAGTGTAATTAGGCCACACCGATTTAATTTCATGGATGACATCCGTGCGTGCATTTATTTTCGCCAGTTCTCAAAAAAAAAGATCACGTCCTCTGAGTCTCTGGCCTGGGTAGTCCAAGGTAGTTAGCGATAATATGGAGTTGGTTGTAACTCTGGAGGATGGCACCCAAGCTACCGAAGCTCCACGGCAACTTAAGAACTTGGTACATACGTACAGTGCCAACTCATATATTCCACCAAAGGCCAGCATGTGCCGGCTTGTTGTATATGTCGCTATGTACTGCTGCAAATTCACAATAGCAGCTTTCTATTCCTGTGGTTTAGTAGCATTTTTTTTGGGCCTGAATTTTTTTTTATTCACTGGCGCGAACTAATGTTGGGGTCTTCAGATGATGTCATTCATAAAATTAAGTCGGTGTGGCCTTATACTATAGTTTGAATAATGATAAAATTGTTTATTGCAAACTCTTGCTGTTGGGCTAATTGCAAGTCTCACTAACTCACTATCTGGTTTAGTGTTAATACAAGTATTTTCAAGTACAACTTTGAAAAGAACATTTCAATAAAGAAACATGGTGGTAACAATTTCAATAACTAGAACCACATTCATGTAAAAGCTACCACTAACTCCACTGTACTGGGTTGAATTTTTTTTAGACAAAGCAGTGGTCGAAATACTTTTTTTCAGTGCTCTGCAATATTGCAGAAGAGTCAAAATTTTGTCTTTTTTACATCATATATAGTTTGTAAATCTGTAGCATTACTGGAATTCTTATAAGTTTAATAATGTATCACTCTTTTTAATTTCAGACTTTATAGATCCTTCTCCACCGAAAATTTATCATTTACTGGTATCTTCATGGGTCTTTCACCGCTGTGAACTACAACTAAAATCATACCTTACCTGTAAATGTACTAGTAATCACACCCACATATCATCCTTCCACACAATATACTAATAAAGACACACCAAAAAAACAGAACTTAACTCTTAAGCAACTCTATGTGATTTTGGTGCTACCTGAAACGGTCAGACTAGTACCTTTCGTCAGTGACACTAAGAGAATTGCAGGTTTATAAGCACGAACTATTGATTCATATGTAAATTAGTGAAGACAAATTTTTGGAAGTCCAAAGGGAAACAAAAGATAGACAAGTCAAGACAAGGATGATGCAAATTAGTGAAGAAGCTCCTGTTGCTTCAAAACAGGAGCTTAAGTGTTGTCTGTCCTTGGGGCCAGAGAGTTCTAGTTTGCTAAATTGAAAACTATTGAATCTGGAGCCTATTTTTCCTTCTGCAAAATTGCAGATTGTATAAATTTTTCTTCTGCAATCTTGAAAATCTACCTGCAGATAGCAGACTGCAGACAGGTATTTCGAACACTGCAAAGGAAGATGAAGGATTTAACTTTTCATACAATGTGTGAAATTTTGGAATAATTGTTAAGAGATCAACATGTTTGATCCGTAAATAATGTATTACTCTTTGAAAGATAAATGAACAGAGTGGAAGTAAGGGAGGAATTTCATGGCTTCATTAAAGAGTTTTGCTTCTTTCATGTTTCTTCTATCCCAGGTGCTGAATGCAGAAAAAAGTGGCTACAAGGCAGCTATTGTGTATAATGATGAATCAGACGTCATCCTACAGATGAATGGAAATAAATGTAAGTTACACAGTTCAGGGCTGGAAGTACTTGGGCTGCATATAGTGTAGGTAAAATTTGAGCTGTGTGACTGTGTATTTCTGTCCAGAGCTCAAAATACTACCTGCATATGCATGTTACTGATAGTACAGGTAAGGTCTATGAAAAAATAATGTTGTGTTTCCTGTTTCCCGACCAACCCTAGAAAAAACTGCCGACCCTAGCCTTCTTTCTGTTTGGACCCCTACAAGGGACATGATTTTTTTGAGCTGATCAACCTTTTCTAGCTCCATGATCTGTAAACAATTCTGGAGTCGTGTGGCGTACATGTAATCAGTAGCATGTTCGGCTCAGGACTAAGAGGTCCCGGGTTCGATTCCTACAATGTCATTGATCATGTGCCCTTATGGAAAAGGCACTTAACACAACTTTCCTCACTTCACTTAGGTGGAAATTAGTACCTAGCTTTGGTTAGGGACGTCCCTTCGATAGCACGTTAAATGGAGGTCCCGTGTTAGGGAGAGCCACACCCCATGCACGTTGAAGAACCCACCGCACTCGAAAAGAGTAGGGGTCCTTCCCGGTGTGAGTGGTTCAAACCTTACTGTCTGGTCTTACACAGCTTGTACTAACATGTACAAAACTGGTGTGTTATGCCTAAAAAAGATGGCTTACTGGTTACACAAAAAAACTGACATAAGTGATAAAACATTGTATAATCAGATTTTTTCAGGACTGTAACCAGAAATACATTTTTTCCTAGTCCTAATGTGTGACATTACATGTGTACCTGAAGAGGTTTAGAGTATGCGTATCTACGCTCAAGTAGGCAGTCATGTGTCTGAACTCGTGTTAATGGGTGTAAAAGCTGCTTGATATCAATTAAGGGTATCCTAAGTTGATGGTCGTGAATGATTGATACTATATTAGACGCTTTACTGCTATCTGACTCGTGCTCTGTGGTCATGTGGATGTACATGTAACACTTTTTCCCATATCAGGGCTCAAAATTCATTTTTGGGAATAGGCACCCAACCTAAAAAATTAGGTGCACAAAAAATTTTTTGGGTGCACCATATAAAACAAAACCTAATTACAGATCTTACTGCTCCTCTTCTAAGCTTGAATCTGAAATGTAAGGTAATTTCAAAATCTTACACAAGCATTACAACAAAGATTTTATTATTTTTCTGATGCTTAGATGCCAAGAATATCCTGCATACTATATATAATTATTATGTACAAAAATACCTACAAATATTTGGGTGCATCAGTGCACCCACAGAAAAGAATTGGGTTGGGTGCACTAAGATGCACATGTACCCAGTATTTTGAGCCCTGCATATGGTTCAGTGGTTGTACCAAATTGTTTCCAGCAATATTTTGAAGCTACATTGTACTTTTTCCCATTTCAAAGAAATTCTTAACCAAAAATCAGACCACACTAGTATTAATTTTCTTCTTGATTGTGAGCCCTTAGCGTCTGCTTCATCAGTGACGTATACACGTTATAGAACTGAGGAGTGCTCCACACATAGTCACACTCTAAAGTGGGCAATCCAACAGGACTTATAGGAGCTATCATTACATACATTAGCTTAAGTGGAACTGGGATGATTGGCATGTCGGGTAAGTGTACATGTGAAACAGTCATCAGATGCTGCACAGACTGCTTTTGCACCTCGTGTCTGTTCTAACGGACTGAGGATCGACCAGAAAAGGATTCGTTTTTGCCCGCCATATAGGATGGACAGTTTGACCCGTGTCCAAGCCACTTCCAGAGTCAAGTGTCAGAGTAGCCTTCTCAAGTAACGTCTGTTTAAGACTGTCTTCCTGCCCAAGATTTGACAAAATGTTCGTGTCTCTTGCATGAAGTTGGAGAGGTGTTTTCGTAGCCAGCAGTTGTGGTCAACTTTCGGAGCTTTTTAATCAGAAGAATTGTTCCAGGACCTACAACTTAAAATTCAGCTTGCTCTACGCATTTTGCTCCGGTCACAGTGAAGAGACACAACAGCGAAACCAGTACAAGCGACACTCACTGGGACTGGTGGATAGCGATCAATTGGAAAAGACCTTTTGCATTTATATATTCATAAACTTGCCTTTGGGAGATAGACATCACCTTTTTGAGGACTAGAAGACAAGCGTTCTACGCAGTTGGAGTAATGCCTGTGACCAGGATTCGCTGCCCGTGCAAGAGAGGACCCAACTGGGTGAAAGATCGTTATAACCGCATATGTATGTCTGGGTTTTACGTCTCCTTAGCAAATTACTGTGCAGCCTATGTCTTCTTAGTATGTCAGTACTAAGAATGTTCTGCACCCATGCAAAATCCCTCATTTATTGTGCTTAGCGCTTCAGCAGAACATCTCTTTTAATGTCATATCTAACATCCCGACTTTAGGTTTCAAATGTTGTGTTGGAAAAAGATTATCTGAAATAGGCAAATTTAGCAAACCATGCAAAATCTGGGTTTTGCACAAGTACAATACATTCTCAGCCACCGTGCTTGTCTTACCCAATGTGCAGACATTGTTGTTCCCCCTCAAAGCTACTAGAGGGCCCCAAGCCTAAATGATACATGTGATGTCTGCTTACATATAGCTATAATGGATTCCCTAAGTGGATGTCCCTATTTTACCTCATGGATGAAAAGCTATCAGTATTTGATTAAAGAGTTGTTTCAGTGGCACAAGTTGCCTAGTAGGTGGAAAATGGTTCTAGAACTTTCCATATGGGTCACCAGTTAGCCTGTTTTTTGTAAATCTGCCAACTGTTAATGTCATGTGACATTCTTACAGAAAAAAAAAAGATATTCTCTTTGTAGTCTTACGATTGGATACATGTAATAGTAGGACTAGGGTCTGCCTTTTTTTTATTCCAAGTATGGAAGTAATATTTGTTTGGGGTGGCGGAGTTGTGGATTTGTATGTCTGTCTGTTCAACTTAGTAGTACTAGTACTGGCAGTTGCATGTTGGGTGGAAGGTGATTTTGACAGTAACTGTTGATGGATAGGTCAAGTCTGATTTTGAAGGTGACCTAGCACACTCCAAGTGAGAGTAAGTGGGCAGTATGTTGGAGGAATTCAGGAAGTGGACCAGGTGTAATGCCTGATTGCTGTAATGTTCCCTCTACATTCACAAAAACTCAACTATAGTTAACCTGGATAATAGTTCTATATGAGTACTTAGATTCTAGTGTAAAGTCCTAAATTTGTGATGTTTGTTGTGTTCCCTGTAGATTACATGGAGGTGACCATCCCCTCTGTGTTTGTGGGCCTGTCAGATGGGATGGAACTACAGACATACGACTGGAAAACAGGGTGAGTTCTACTTCTAATCATTCAATCATAGAACACAATATGAAGACTCAAGAAATACATTAAAGACAATATGACACCAATAATACTGAAATGCAATTGTTCTTAAAATAGTAAGCCAAATGTGGTAGGTATTAATATTATTCAATGAACAAAGAGGTTTGGACAAAAAAATACACTGTTCTGATGTTAGGGCATTTTGGAATCTTGCGAATCCTTGAAAATTTAATGCTTGATTTCTGCAGCCAGTTAATTCAATTAAATGCTGTCAGTGTTATGTCCAATTAAATTACATCATCATGCAACCCCCTCCACACTTAGCTTTAATACATGAAAATCCAAAATACTTCTCAGAAGTCAGAAATCTCTTACTACAATATACTACATGAGAATCGGATAACAGTTACCGTACCAATTGTGTTACAGAGATGAACTGTCATGCCTGAATGACTGTCATACCTGATGGTTTGTTTGTTTGTTTGTTTGTTTGTTTGTTTGTTTGTTTGTTTGTTTGTGTGCCACAGGTCGCAGGTGAAGCTGACCCCTGACTTCACCATCCCCCTGCACTTCTACCTGCTGCCGTTTGCGATCATCGTTGGGATCTGCTTTGTCCTCATGCTCATCTTCATGGTTAGTTAGCACACCCCCATTTACCAAATAGAATCATCCCACTTTCTCTCACATGTCTTAGACTGTACCTTTATACCTGATATAGACTATTGAGGAAGGGATACCAGAAGTAGTGATATAAATGTATTTAACTTCAACCTTCCTCAAAGAGTAAACATAATACACCAACCTTAAGCCCCTGTCGCACATAGCCAAATATGGCCTCCTGAACACATCTGACCTCCCTCCAACCATAGTTAGGAGTAGGTCTGGAGCAAGGTCAGCTGTGGTTGGTTGGTGTTTGGTGAGGTCTGCTACGCCATGCAGCCATATGTTTGAAAATGTTTGAAACATTCAAGGAGATTGGGCCATGGTTGGGGACTGGTTAGGAGTTGGTCAGCAGTTGTCAGGACATGGTTGGCAGTGAAATATAACTCAGATTTGATTTGATCTGTATAGATGGTAGGCATGGCCTAAATCTGGTCAAACTACTCTTAAGCTTGTTGGGGGAAAATGTGTACATTATACATGTTTTACAGTAGTAACAAGCTCAAGTTTGCAAGTTTGATAATGTTGTACCAAAATGAAAATAGTGAAATGGCCTGGTAGTAATATATTCAGAAGGAGAAAATGATCTAAGTGCTTAGTCACTTGAAGAAGAGAATCCCATGGCTGTACCTACATGTAAATGTGCCTTGGTTTACAGGTTGCGAAGTTTGTCCGTGACAGAAGACGACAGCGCCGCTCCAGGCTGTCCAAGGAACACCTGAAGAAAATCCCCACCAAGAAGTTCAAGAAAGGTGAGAGCCCAGCAAACAAACCATTTCTTAGGCCACACCAATTTAATCAGCTGAATTGCCCACTTCTTTTTTTCAGATTTCAAAAGATAAAAGTATTCAGGTTCTGAATCAACTCCAATTGCTGCTATTTTGACTTCAACAGTAACTTAAAGAAAGCTCCTTGTCTTCCTTGTTGTTGCAGTTTTTACGTTTATCAATGCAATGGTTTGATTGAAATTTAAAGATTCATTGCTTGAACCAGCCTGTTATGTTAACTACATGTCTCCATGGCCTGTGTAATTACTGAATTACAATGACTTTCTTTCTCCATTCACAAGTATTCCTTTACTAAAACAGTGGACTGATGCAAACTGGATGGTGAGGCAGGAACCATGCATATGGTCATTGTTGTGAGGAGTTACCATGACACTGCAGTTATGAGATAAACTGTTAGGGGGCATGACTGACTTGCTATGCATTGCAGGTGATGAGTATGATGTCTGTGCCATCTGTCTGGATGACTATGAGGAGGGGGACAAGCTCAGGATATTACCTTGTTCCCATGGTAGGTATACGGGACACTGAAGTATTGTTTTGGGTGTCTGAGGTGTGGGGTTGTGTCTCTGTCCTAGTACAGGCTTATATGATGAGTGGAAGGTGATTTTGACAGTGAGAACAATAGGGAGATAGATAGGGAGAACAAGCCTGGAGATGACCTAGCACATGCTGGGTGGGAGTAAAAGAACAGTATGTGGAGGAATTCAGGAAGTTGATTGTTACCCAATTAAATTACCTCATCGCTTGCTACACAATCTCCTTCGCAGTTCCAATACATTTTGTACATTAGAGAATCATAATTTGCTGCTTTTAGCCTTTGGTGCACTTCATACCGAAGTCACTAGGTGTCACTGTTGAGAATGGTTAGCTGTACCATGGACTAGGTTTGATAAGTCTTCTCTCTTCCTCCCCAGCCTACCACACTAAGTGTATTGACCCGTGGCTGACCGGCAGTAAGCGGACGTGCCCGGTGTGTAAGCGGCGCGTGATTCCGGGGGACGACGACACGTCCGACTCGGAGACCAGCCAGTCGGACATGGATAGCGATGACGAGATGCCGGAGACCACTCCCCTCCTGGGCGCCACCGGGCCCGTGGACCGTACCAACTCTGCCATGGGGACCACCGATACTTCCAGGTCAGCCCTGTAATTAACTCAGCTATGGCAATCGGATAAAGTTTTAAAATCACGGACTGTGCTAAAAAAATACTTCATCAGTCCCCAGACATGCCCAATGTTATGCCCTTGGGAAAGGGGCACACTACTTCCCTCCCTGTACGGGCCTTTTGGCTAATAGTTTATACCGTGTCCAAACACTGATGAGAACACAGACTGGTTTTATAATAGCAATTGGATTAAGTTGAGTTTCAAAATCACCAATTATGCCGAAAAATACTTCAATCAGTCCCAATAACACTCAAACCAACTTAAAGATATATACTTGAAAGAGATACGGCTTGGAACCAAAGAGGTCCTGGGTTTGTTCCCCATACATGCCAAATGTTATGCCCTTGGGAAATGGGGACACAATTTTTCTCACTGTGCCTTGAAGTGATGCCCACCTGGCCTTTCGGCTAATCTTTCATATTGTGTCCAAACACTGATGAGGACACAGACGGATTTGGTATCACCATTGTACCAAGATCTGCACATTTGCCTCTAAAAGAACTGTGCAATTTTTTTTTTTCTAAGCATGTTTGTACCCTGTCCAGGATGCACCACTCGGATGATGACAGTACTGAGACCCAGGAGACCAATGAAGATGACTCCAGCTCGGATGAGGAGGGAGAGGAGAAGGCTGATCCACAGGGAGCCTGGGGCTACTCCGGAGAGGTGGAGATCAGAGAGGGACCAGCCCAGGACACTAAGGTGGACATGGGAGAGGAGGAGGAGGAAGATAAAGAGGTGGAAGAGAAGACTGGACCAGAAATTGTGTGATTCTCCGACCAGATGGTCAGGGCTCGAAATACATTTTTCAACATACACCATATACCTGCACTGATATGAAGGTGGCATTCAAAATTACCAGCACCACTCAGAATTTAGGAAGTATGGATCATACTAAAAACTGTTCAGAAACCATTGCTGTTATTTTATACTTCATAGGTGGTGACAGTCAATGCAGCAGATGGAAATCCACATACACCTGCATTTCACTGTAAAGCCTATGAAGACTGGTGCAGGTAGATATTAGAAATACCTGCACAGCTCCAATTTTACCTGCACTAACCTGCATATACCCAGTACATGGACCAGTGCAGGTTAGGTGCAGGTAGACATCAGAAATACCTGCACAGCTCCAATTTTACCTGCAGTAACCTGCATATACCCAGTACATGGACCAGTGCAGGTTAGGTGCAGGTAGACATCAGAAATACCAGCACAGCTCCAATTTTACCTGCAGTAACCTGCATATACCCAGTACATGGACCAGTGCAGGTTAGGTACAGGTAGACATCAGAAATACCTGCACAGCCCCAATTATACCTGCACTAACTTGCAAATTCAGGTGGTATTTCAAGCCCCAATGGTGAATCTCACATCCAGATCAACAGACATGTTTTCTTTTCTACTGGATTTGATGGTAGAAAATGTAGCAATAAACTATAGGAACATGACTGATTGTCCTATATATATATATCTTACCTTCCACGGCAAACTCTAATTTGTCCTTTCTCTTAGGGGTTCGCTGCTTAAATCTTTTCAAAAGGGAATTGTAGTATAGGGAAACCCTCATGTCCTAGGGCTAATGCTAACACAATGGTCATATCAACGTGAGGCAGCTGAAAGAAAGTTGTCAGTCCTGTACATGTACATGTACATGTACATGTACATACATGTATGTGACCCCCACATACACAGACTAGAGAGAATGCCTTCAAAATGTTCTCCAAACTCTGAGAGCAATAAGACTGATTCCTTCCACTAGCATGCATATCTCTTGTCCTAAACTGGTGAATATGATCTAGTTGGTGGGAAAGCATTTAGGGGGAATTTGCCCCACTTAGCATCTAGAGATACATGTATGTTTAGGGAGTGTGGGTATACAAAATAAAGCTAGTTGAAGATTCTTTTTCTTCTATCTTAAAGAATGTTAACATTTGCGCAGATTCAGCAGAACTCTGTGATGAGGCCTCACAGAGGGCTCAAATTCAGCCCTCCAAAATTTCATCACGTTTGAGCAACTCTTTTTTCCAAAGCCTTAAGTTTAGGCTTCTTCAAAGTCATTCAGTTCCCAGCCACCTTAACACTTAGCCATTGTCACATTTTTTTTAAATTAGAGAGAATTCTTAGTGACCATATCATCAAATATGAGTGTTCAGTGAGTGAAAGTAGCACTGGTATGTCTTGTTTGTGATTAAGAGTGGGAGCTTTGCAATGTTCTTTACATGTAGATCTTCAATTTCAAACCCTGAGTATCATCAGGTGATTGGGTATAATAAAGTGATAACTGACTTCTGAAAGCCATGAAATTGCCAGAATGCTAGCATTATGTACATGTGCGTGTAGTTGAAATAGCAAATAGAGTAACACAGATCATACCTTGCTGCTTATAACAGAAGTTGAGGTAAAAGCCAAGCAGGTACATGTACAAGTATTTGTATACAGAGGGATGTTGTATGTACTAATTATTTACATAAATGCGAAAAGAATATTTCCTCATGTCACAGTCTTTTATTTTTCGATTATTGCCAATGTTTATCATTTGAGCTTAAGATTGGACAAGCATATCACCAGTCATACCATTTTAACTTTGGTGTTACACTTTGGTAGATGAAATGCTTGTTTGCTTAATTGGCAAGACAGTATCAACAAAAAGAAGAGTTGTAGAGATTCTTGGGTTGATTTAAAGTTATGATTTTGTTTTTTCACTCCTTCCGAATCAACCAGTGTAAATAAAGGGCATGGGAAGGAGGTCTTTCCCGTTGAGTGAAGGACCAAATAATTTTGAGTACAAATTTAAAAAGCATTTTATAATTGTCATTAAAATATGTGGTGATGGCATAAGTATTATGAAAAGATGTGCAAATTCTACCATTACTATATCAGTGTTTGTTAATCTGTAAGAAATTTAGTTGTGAAAATGATTGCAAAGTTGAAATGACGTGGGTGACAGTATGGAAATAGTGGCTTAAGTTGGGGCAATTTCTGTACTAACTTTACTGTTACTGTGTAGTAGCAATCTTGTTAGGTGCAAAGCAGATTTCTTTTGTGCCCCAACTGCAAAACAGGATGTGCACAAAACTGCAATGCTTCAGAGCTCACATTTTCTGTATTGCAAGCCTTCGTGCAAAGATGTCGGTTGGAACTTGAGTGAGAATTGTTGTTACACATTTACTAGTATATGTATATAACAAATGGGTGAATGAGTTATAATTATGACACCTATATAAGGCCATGTTGATTTGATTATATGGATGACATCCGTGCAAATTTCAAAAGGAGCAAATATTGTAAATTAGGGGAAAAAATATTGGAAAATGATACTAATGCCGGAGAATGCCAAATTTTAAATCAATTCCAAAAGAAGAGAAGAAAATGTGAAGAAATGAAAGTGAAGAGTCTATTATTTGCCATAACATACTCTGTGTTATACTCATACATTAAAATTTGATCAACCTTCATAACTATACTAAATCTTAGATTTCATAATGAAGGCAACCTTTTTTTTAAGCCCAACTTTTTTTACTCTCACGCTTGCATCAGTTTTGGGGTTCCCAGAGGATGTCATCCATATAATCAAATCAACATATGGCCCTACTATCTTTGATGCAAATCAACTTCAAATTGTACAGAGGCCTGTGTATATGGGTGAACATAACCCAGCATGATCATATTAAGATATAAGGAAGAGTTATATTTTCAGAATATAACTAATAACTCAGTGTAAAACATATTTTCATAGATTGACATGCTACAATGGAAAGGGTATAATGTAGAAATACATGTAGGAAAGCAATTTGGTGAAGATTGACTGTAATATACATATTTGTATGACAAGATAAAACATGAATGAACATTATTATTGTGTGCCATGCTGTGCTTGGCTGTACATGTAGCTGTTCTAATTTGCATTTGTCACTGCTGTGCTAGAATACAGACTTATCGCATTAGCTGTTGCTTAGAATATCATAGATGATGCTGGCAAAAAAATTCAGTTGTAAGTCAAGGAAAACTGTTGATTTTTGTTGAAGGTGTTTTGTGACACTGCAGCAGTTGTAGACACGATATGTTATGGCAGAAAGACCAAATGCACGTATGTTGAATGGGTTGGATTTAAAGTGTAGGCCAGTAACAATGTATTTTGTGTGTGGGTATAGATGCTGTGCGTAGAACAAGCTACTGACAATGTACTACATGTAGCTTTGGCTTGTAGCTTCATTATTAGGTCTTTGGGCGGGGCTCCAAGACTGTTATCTTACTTTTCAATGCTACAGTGCCACTCGCTGTAACCTACCGGTAGTGTGTGAATAGGTTGTCAAAATGAAAAAGGATTAACATGTTTATGCTTCAGATGACAGTGGGAAAGAGAACAATAACAATGCACTGATGTCAAAGGGTAGCTTGTCTGTAGCATATATTCGAAGATTGAAAGTTGACATTGCCAGACTACAAGGTATTAGTAACATTAACAGAAAACATAAATACCTCCAAGCAGTGATCTCAGATTCACCATGTATAACATACATGGTCAAACTTTGTAAGTTTAGTCAAGAGAATATCCGTAATGACAAAATTCTTATAATAACATGAAAGTTAATCTGTGTCGGCAGTTACAGTGTACATGTTTAAAGTGAAAACTTTTTGTTCCAACACAAGGGATTGTTCTCACGTAGAGCTTTCAACCAGTCACTCTGGTCTTCATCAGTAGACTGACCCAGCGAGACTTGTCATGTGGCTTCACCGAAGTGTGACGTCAACACTGGGTCAAAGGTGTCTGGTAGACCTCTCTTCAGAGAAGTCTCTTAATAAGTCCCACTGACACTGAGTCTATTGGAGAAGACCAGAGTGACTGGTCGAAAGCTCTAGGTGAGAACATTTCCTTTGTGTGGGAACTAATATATAAAGCTTTAACTTTAAACAAATTCAGATGGTTTGTGCTGACTGTTTAGCCTTGTACCTAATATTCTATGAAGGTCTTCTTTCCCTGGCAACTGTTTATGGTAATTTTATATCTGTAAATTAAAGTATCCATTTGTAAATTGTATGGTAATGGTGTAGGCAAAGATTTGTATTGTTAAGGTTTCATCATAGTACCTTAAGTCCCATGTGATTGTTGCTGGGTTCTATGTAAATTGTGTAATTTTCTGGGTAAAATAAAGCTGGATATCAGGTTAAAGTTGTGTGTGTGGTATTGTGAAAATATACCATAGTAGACACTTGTGAAAATAGTGACAATGGATTTATAGCAACTGCAAAGAGTTACATTTTAATGCAACAAGATTAACATCTTCCTGGGCATCTACATTCGTTTCTATGGAAAGAAACTTCATAATGCATACTTTCATAATGTAAGGATATAGAACATCTGATAAGGCCACACCAAGTAAATTTTATGGATGACGTCCTTTGGAGACCCTAAATCTAATGCGAGAGGGCGAAAAAAACAAGAAGGGCCCTAAAAAACAAGAGGCCTAGATCAGAAAAATACGAAGAGACGACAAACGTTAGGACACAAATTGAATGAGGTGACACAGTGTAACAAGCAAGAAGTCTTTCATTCATCATCAAAACAGCAATAAATCAAGTGGGACAGCAGTTGTTGTCCTATCCTGTTTTCGCGTTACGGGTTTGACGATTTGCGGCACTGTCGTGACTCTTTGGTCAGTTACAGGAAGCGGAATTTCTTGTTTTTTTTCTACGAACAGGCCAAAATCAATGCGCGCGCGGACGTCATCCATAAAATTTACTTGGTGTGGCCTAACACAAAAAAGCAGGGTAAGCCTCACACAAAATGTACTTGACATACAATGTATGTCAACTGTACATTTTAACCATTGCTACATTTGTACGACACAGGTCACAATGTACATGTCGAGATCGACCGTCTACTTTTGCGGTGTTGTCTAGCAGTGTATGATAATCCTCGAATTTAGTTCTTAAATGATTTAGCAGTAATGCCAACAGTTTGCAGGTAACAATCAGTAACAGTCCAAACTCCACATCTAATCAAAATGTTGAACTGTTGAAATCTGCAGCCTTTTTTTGTCTAATAGCCGCTGCCACGCAGGTAGTCGCCAAGTTTCTCCACCACGTTGTTACAGTTGCCACCCTGCATGCCTTCGCTGTAGACTCCAAAGATGATGCCTGTTAAAAAAAAAAACACTCCTGAAATCTAGCATGAAGAAATTGAGACCAATTGATAGCATGACAAAAGAAACAAAAACTGGACAGTTTGCATTGCATGTGCCAAATAAAAATCCAAACCAATAATGTAGGGGATTATAGCTATCCAACTGTTAAATTCTTAGTTATATGTCACTTCATACAATTATAATAGTTCTATCAATGTAATAGCATTGTTATGGCTTAACCACACCACATAGCCATTTGCTTCTGAGCAAATGTCAGCCTTTCTAGGTTCAAGGGTAAATTTTCTCAACTTTTTACACATTTCACATTTATACAGGCTTTCTCGGGTGGGTATATGTATGACAATTACGATAAATGAAATACAAATCTGCATATTCTGCATCACCCTCAGTCCCAGCCCTCCAGCGGGTTGGATATCCCTTCAGCCTTCGGGCGATCTAACCACAGTCTGGCTGGCACTTTGGGGTGATACAGAATGCAGCACTCACATGACTTGGTCAGGTAGACACAGGCCCCTGCCTCGCCCTTCTTCACATAGATGGAGCTCTCATTCTGCCTCAGGAACTTGTACTTGTTGTCAGCTTCATCACCAATGAAGAGGCCAGCTATGGAAATAACACAAATTTTAAAGATCTCTAGTCTTTTCTTAGTACTGTTACTACTGTAGATGTATGAGTGCCCGGAGCAGCAAGCTGTACTCCTTCGTTCAGCGGACCAACTCCCGTGGCATGTTATCTGCCTATTTGGCCAATTTCTACTCTTTCCAGCCACTTTTGAAGCCTGGTAAAGGCTATATAAAGACCAATGAACAGAAAACTCAGAGTCTACAATCTAAAAGAACATTCCAGACCTGAATTTTGCTGGTTATAATATCTTACTATAGCCTCGTCTTGAAGGACTGAATGCATTATGTTTTCCTTACCTTCATCATTCCAGTATCCTGTAGATAAATTTTGCAAAAAAATACTTTATCTTTCTAGTTCTTAGTACTTAAGAAGTACTTACGTGTAAGTTGGGAGAAGGGTGTTATTTTCCAATCGATAATAATTTATATAATTGAATGTGTACACACTATCAGCCAAAAATGTTCTGCAGAATTTCACTTCAGCTAGTACTTTATCCTTTAGCACATATTTCACATCTTAAAATCATCATCCAATGAAAAATAACACAATTCTTCTGACTTACAAGTGCTTCTTTAATGGGATGCTTGCATTTATTCATTCATACTGACACAGTGAAGACACAACACTGACTTGTGAAGAGAACAGACCTACAGTTTATCTTTGCAGTGGGCTCAGTGACAGATCCGGCATAGAAGCTACAGTATTGTAGGGATAGGTGGTGCTATCAATAAGTTAAGAACTACAGGACTGGTTCATCTAACTTCCTGGGCTGGACTGGCAACATTGTTTTTAAGATGGCACAGAAGGCTTAAATCTTGAAACGGTACCTTAAAATTTTCTTTGTACTTTTAGACCATTGTATGCATGGTAACTACAGAACTGTAAATACTGCATTGTTTTTAGGAAAAACTTGATACAAAATTGATTCTGGTGCTACAATGTGCTGACTCCAAATGGTTTTGGGAATGCTGATATACTGTGCAATTCTTGAACATAATGCAAATAACAGGTGTGCCCATTCAACATGAAGGTTCAGTTTATTGACTGAACCCCAGAACTATCCAAATCTGGCCCAGTTAACAATCTGGTACAGTAACTGCAGTTTTCTCTCAACTACTTTGGCACTGAACTCAAATACAACTTCTCTTGATACGTAACAAAATAATAATCCATATAGTTAAACATATATATATTGCTCAAGAAGACTAATAAAAGCTTGTGCAACACTTGTATACAACATACATTTCAAACTTAAAAAACCTCTAACATGAATGTAACAATAAAGATTCAATAATTATTGGTTCTAGTTGATGAAGCAGCTGACAATTTTTTTCCACTTAAAAGATTCAACAAGCCAAGCTGCATAGGGTTACAATATGTGGCTATGAACTTAACAGTTGTAAATGAATAGCTCATATTCATACCATTGGCTAACTTACTAAAGGATTCCACATAGTGCTTTCTGAGACGGTGGCAACTCATGTATTCATCCTTACTCCTTCTTTACAAGTATGTCTGACAGCACATGGTAGATTGAGAGGCCTTGCAAGTCTAGTACGAGGCAAAGACCAAGCTACCCATAAAATACCCTTGGAATAAGATCTGAACATGAAAAATTTTCAGTTAAACTGGCAAGTAATGTTCTATGGTCAAAACAAATGACATCCTTGCTTCAGATTTGGTGAGTTTAAGAACATGGCTTGGATACCCACTCCTGAACTTTTTTCAAACCTACAACGTAAAATATACCTTGAAGCATGCAAAATGTTACTGTTATTCAATGTTTCCATTGTATATACACAAACCCTGAATGTATAGAACAGCAATTTCTGTGTTGCAAATTGTTGCACTACAACCAGTGTATTTCTTTTTGTTTGTAAGTCATCAAATCGTAACCATAGCATTAAATTCGTATGACCTAATGATTATAGTGGCAACAAGCAAGGGCACACTACCAAATCTGAATAGCTCGAGTTAGTTGAATTTTGTGCATAACTGATTTAGTTTGGTCTATAGTACTTCAATTTGACTTTTAGTAAAATTTAAACCATGATTCCCCACTTTCTTTCTCTTCCAGCCATTGTAATATTAATTCAAAAGCTCTAATTTGCATGTCAACGTGATGTTTGATACCGATTTAAGAAAAGTAGTGGTCATTTCTTGAGCTACCATGACTAAACTTGGCTATGCTATCTGAAAGAAAACGATTTAAAATTTCCCGGTACAAGGCTACATAGCTTAACGCTAGTCCAAAATGGCACAACACACATTATGTAAAACATTTAAATTGCTGCAAGTTACAGTTAAACACTGCCATTAGGCATTTTTCTACAACTATCAGTTTCTAGTTTCTTTATTTACTAAGGAAATGTACATGACAGCCACATCGATATTTCCACCGTCTCAGATATTTCTTGCCTTCCAATGCCTCAATGCAACAGAAAGCTTTTGGCAACATCTTACAATATTCATGTCATTTCTAAAAGCATATTGTCTTAATTGTAAAGTAAAACTAGTTTAACAACTAGTCCATCTGGATAGTCAAGAGACCCCATTTATACCTACACTATATATTCTTAACAACTTTTCCTTAAAGTTATAAAAGTTTCAAAAATAAAGAAAATGAACAGTAAATGAAATAAAATTCTGTTTTTTCTCTTTCCACTGTCTCTTCAACACAGAAAAGCGGAGATAAAATTGTTGTGGCATTAAATTGTGATTTTTTAAAAACATCTAAGATGACTTTTACCACTGTACAATGGTCACAGGGACAAGGACAAGCACCATACACTGGCCTACATCATAAGCCTTGCAGAAAGTCTTACATTTCTATGGGTTTCACAGTTAAGTCTACATTGTGGGAACTTGGATTTTCATGTATCTGTAAGAGTCTACAGAAATACTGGAATGCATCTATAACTATACAGAACACAGAGAGCAAAGACTGGAATGCTTCTATGAAGAGTTGTCTTAGAGAGAAAAAGATGGAATGAGGAAATAGAAGGTGCAACAACTTGGAGAAGAAGTCTTACTGACTTTTGGTTATGGGACGGTATTGTGTTTTCTTTTGATTCGTTGATACTAACTATCACGCTATGATAGCGACTAGTCTTACTTTGCCTTAAATATGCACACTGTAGCCACATGCAATTGCTTAATATGAAAACTGGTATCTTGCAATACAGGACCTACATGTAATAACAAACATACCCCCAATATAAAAATCATTTAGTTTTCTGCTACTTCAAAGGTAAAAAATATATCATTTACTTCAGCTGAATGGACCTTGAAACAGGAATTAAAGAATCAAAAACTTTACCAACAGCAAATTAGTTTATACTAAATGCTGTAAGCTAAAGCGATAGATCTAGAATACCACTACCAGCATTTTAGCCTGGTACACTGGTCACAGGAGGAACCATGTGTTATACATAATGTATACGATACAATCATTGTTTAAATGAATTCATCTAGAAAACACAAAGTGCAGGTTGAAATACAAGAGCATCATGTATTTCCATGCAAAGAGACCAGTTTTCTTCACTGACATACAAATGTAGCAATGATTTTGGATTAATTGGTTCTAACTGTTACTCCGAGCACGGTGGCCTTCCCAATGTCTACCACATCTAATCTACTCACTTCTAAAGGTTGTTTCCACAGGAATGATAGAAAGCGGTTAGAATTATTTCTAGTTTAACCTCAAGGCTACTTTACATCCCTAGACTAAGAATCATATCCTAAACACCCCCAACTCGGAATTGGAACAGTCCTAGTTGCCATTCCTCCGTATAGAAATCTGGGCTACTACACAGATTCTTAGGGTTCCTGTTGGCATCCATTTTCATCTTCTTTCTTCAGATTTCTTTCTGAAATGTTACTGAATGGAGCCCATCACTAATTGACCAGTTACTGACAGTAACATACGTTATCTGTACTGGTGGTTTGATAGAGGATGTTCTACCATAGCGAAGTGGTAGCAAAGTCCTTTTCTATTGTACCCTAGGTGCAGCATCAGTTTTAGACAAGTCCACTTCAGAATAGGGGTGTCTGGAACAGATCACTTTGAGGGACCATAACAAGGCTAACCAGGTTACAATCATGGCTTCAATTTTTTTCTATTTTTTTCATATATAGAAATATCCTTGTAGTCGGTGTCGGCTGGAAAAGAAAAAAGCAGCAGCACGGAAGGTGGATGCCTAGAAGTTGCACTCCAACAGGTAGTCTCCCAGCTTTTCCACTACATCGTTACAGTTGCCTGCCTGCATGCCGTCTTCATACACAGCGATGATCAAACCTGAAATTCAACAAATGTTACAGTTACAAGTAATGTTTGACATTCACAATAATCTGATTGAATTAAATCATACCCAAAACAAAAAATCCCTAAAACTTCCCAGTGGTCTGGGTTGTGGGATTCTGTCTCAAAATGCACTCAAGACAAATAACAGGCAGGGCTCGAAATTCATTTTTGGGAATAGGTGCACTGGTGCACCCAACCTAAAAAAAATAGGTGCACAAAAATTTGTTTGGGTGCACCATATAAAACAAAACCTAATTACAGATCTTACTGCTCCTCTTCTGAGCTTGAATCTGAAATGGGAGCTAACTTCAAAATCTTAAACGAGTACTTCAACAAAGACTTTATCATTTTCTGACACTTAGTTGTCAACAATATCCTGCATACTATTATACAGTTGATATGCACAAAAATATCTACAAAAATATTTGGGTGCCAAAAAGAATGGGTGCAGCTCTAATTTTGGGTGCACTAAGGTGCACATGCACCCAGTATTTCAAGCCCTGATTGGGTAAGCAATGATACAAGTGTGACACAAGAAATATAGTTACTGTACTTACATGTGTTTGTCTTGAAGACACATGCCCCTGTGTCGCCTTCTTTGACATAGAACGCCTTACCATTCTGCTTTATAAACTTGTATTTGATCTCTTGCTCTGTTCCACTTTCAGTTGTTTCTGTACCTATATACATGCCAGCTGCAAGGAAAAGGAAAAAAAATGCAAAAATTAGTGCAAAATCAATCAAATCAAGACAGTTGTCTGAAACAGTGTGACTATCTTAAGATGTTGAACTCCCTGTTTCACTCTAAGTCACAATTCGAACTTGATAGTTGATACCCAGTTTCTTCATACTGCTTGACAAATTCAAATCATCTAGCACAAAACACTTCAACATACCAAAGTAATCAACCTTGTATTGCTAGAACATAATATATAATCAAGAACATTGTATATGAACAGGACACAACATATGTATGACCTATCATAACTTTATAACAGTAAGCATTGTTATACATGTCTGATAAACGCCCAACAGACTTTTTAAAAAGGCTGTCTGAAAAATGTTTAAAACTTTTGTGAACTTTAGAAGTAATAATTATATTAAGATGTCAAAAACATTTCCCTAAACAGGACTATTATTAGTGCTAACAAAAATTACGTAAGACCTACATGTGTAGTTTAGAACAATTAGCATAGTTCTTTCTAACTGTGTTTGTAAAGACTTGTTAGAAATGCTTAAAACTTTTGTGAACAAAAACTCTAAACTCATTGCAATGTACAAATATGCAACTTTTTGCAACATGTCAAGCCAACAGGCTGACAAATACATCTTGTCAAGAAGGGACCTACCAGCAAGCATACAGCTACAGTGAATGCACAAAAGCTGCAAAACCGAGGAATGCTCTGATCGCGTTTTGACCACTTGTAATTCTGCACCGTGGAAGCTGCATTTTTGACAAAATCTGCCTGTGCCTGAGTGTTTAGAAGCTGGCAAACCTCAAAGTTAAGTTATCAGAATGATCTGATGGAAGCTACCAGATTGCTGCTACAAAAGCCTCAGTGGTATAAGACAGCTATAAACAAAATTATCAACCTATACCTGCCAATTATCTTCTTGTTTAAGCGCTGACTGGTGTTTACATAAAGTTTTAATCTCTACTACATGTAACCAGCACGTCAGCAGACTGCATAGTATTACGTACTGTGCCTGTGCGAAACCTGTAAAATTGCGCACTTTGAAGGTCGTTTACACATAATTAAGCATGACATCCCGTCAAAGCTTTGAAATGATAAAAGATAAAACTCTATCTGGTGCAAAATTCTAGTGCAACATTCACCGAGAACCATGAATAATTGGGGTTTTGCACAGACGCAGTACAAATTCTTCTGATGCTCGATAACCTTGCTAAAAATATGGTTAGCTTATGATCCTATTGACTGCAGATTCTACAATACCATTTCATGTACTAATTTTCAGGACACAGTGGGTTGAATAATGCATTGTGTCACTTACATGTGTAGAATTCGGCTAGGGTGCCAGAGTTGAAGGCATTGACTATTTTCTGTACTTGTTCTGGGGTGACCTGCATGAAAACAAAAGAGACAATGTCCATGGCATTAATATCACAATTATTACATCCCTTACCTACTTCAAATTCCTACTTTGTATTAATATTTCATACAACTAAAAGAATTGTAACATATCTTGACATAGTAAAAACACATATTAGGTACGGAGAAACTGAGTATAATCTTTTTATTTTAATAAGTTCAACATGCAGTCATGTTTTTCACTTATTATCACCCTGAACTGAGGTGTCAAGCATGATGCTTTTTCAAGTACATGTACATGAACTTGCAATGCAACTAGAGCTTGCACTTGCACATGCGGCCATCCCTACTCATTTAGAATATTACTGTGTTGGGTTTTTTTTAGAAGCAGAGGTTTGATACATGTACTACAAGGCATGCAGCAGGTAGCTGGTGTGTTACACCGAAGGGCGGTTATACCGGCCATTCTGATACAGATACAGGGGTGTGGGGAGGGGGGTGTTTGGAGGTAGCCTGTACAGAACCCCAATACACAGAATACAGTACCATAAGCTCCCTTATACACAGCGAGCTGGATTTACTTCCCTATTCGAAAAGACAATGTGATACTTTTCCAGTAACCTGCATGAGTTAAATTTGTGCAGGACTGTCATTGCAAGCCCCGAGATTGTATTAACTGATCCATATTCAGGAGAAGCCAGTATGTCCATCATCAGTGCCTACCCTTGGGAATACCTTATCTTCAGCAGAGGTCAATTGCCTGGGTAGGCCTTACCCTGTTCATAGGCTGTGCACTGATTACTTTTCCCTTGGAGGGGAAACATTCAGTTTCTACTGGCCATGGTTTAATGATAGCTGATAGGAAGGGACCAGCAAATACCCTCAGCAAAGGGCATCAGACCTTAAAATATACCTAGGCCTACGAAAAAAATGTTGTGTTTCCTGACCAATCCTAAAAAAACTGCTGACCCTAGCCTTATTTTGGATGGACACCTGCAATTTTTGGAGTTGATCGACCTTTTCTAGCTCCATGATCTGACACCTGAGTGATGAAATGTTGTGCAATCACACATACTGAATCAGTCTTCCAACAATGACATTGAAACTATAACTAAGTGTCCTCACGCAAGTTTTACTTTGTTAAACTGTATTGTACTACACTGAAACAAAAAAAAGATAATCCCGACCTCACTCATTCACTCAAATTGAAAAAACCTGCCAACCCTAATTTTTTTCAGGACTGAAACAGGAAACACAACTTTTCTTCCTAGGCCCTACGTGATAAGAATGTTTCTTTTCTATTTGTCAAGAAACGTCTAATTCTTGATGGCGGGGGGGGGGGGGTGCAGGGAAACTGCTTGTATTTCTTTCTATAATATCATCAACTTTTCTAGGAATTACAGTATACTGCCAAATGTTTTAGGTTTGCAGTCAAAACAGCTTTGTATAAAGAGACACTAGTAATACAATAGAAGGTTAGAATTATAATTACCTTCGCCAAGAAGGTTATGTTTTCAGGGGCGTTCGTGTATGTGTGTGTGTGTGTGTCTGTCTGTCAACACGATAACTTGAGAAGGCCTTGATGGATTGTCTTGATACTTGGTAGATGGGTAGGTCTTGATGAGACCTCAAAATGATTAGATTTTGGACCCCCTAGCGGCTTGTTATGGTACTGCAGCTGAACTTCCTGTTTTGATATCTCAAGATCCAGACATGCTATGGTGATGAAATTTAGATGGCAGATAGCTCTTGTGCTGGGGAAGAAGTGACGTGAGTTTAGGTCCCCTAGCGGCTTGCTCTAGAACTGCAGGGGGGTTTAAAGGACAAATGTTTAAAAGAGGATAACTCAAGAACCGATTGATGGATCATCATGATTTTTGGTATGTAGGTAGCTTAAGTGATGCTTGACATAATGATATTACAATTATGCGAATATTGATGTAATTTGCATAATTAATGAGGAAATTCTATAAATCAGCTGCATTCCATGATAGGAAGTTCAAGCTTGTAACATATGTTATTAAGAACGAGAGAAACACAGGCAAATATTGATTATGCAAATGAAGACTTAATTTGCATAATTAATGAGAAAATGTTATAATTGCGTAGTGGTAACTGCCTGGAATTTCATACTTGGGGTGTTTGAAAGTTAAGTGAAGGTGAACATAATTAAACATAACTTATTCAAATAAGGACCACATTTGCATAATTTATGAGAAAATGGCATTCTTTGTTAAGATAAGACTGTCTTTTGGTGGAGAATATGATCAACAGACTGATATAATTCATGCAATTGAGGATCCTATTTG